TGAAGACAGATCAGGGATAACAATAAAGCAGTATGGTATGGCTTTCAAAGCAATGATATAGCAACAAGTTGGAAAGAAAGATTGGAATACGCAAGACAATATTATTAGCATTTCACTAATAAATATGTAAACTGTTATTCAAAAGATAATGATAAAAGAGCCACATAATATTTCTATTACGAAATGGAATTAAAGACAAAATTGCAGTTAATTGAAATAAAAGATCCTAATTAGATTGTTTAAAATTTCAATAAAAATTCATCAAATTTACTTAATTTTTAATAAGATCATTAAGAACAATTAATTTAATAATCAATAAAATTGAGTGACTTTAAAATTTTAACTTGTATTGGAAAAGGATCATTTGGATATGTTTATGAAGTTGAATTAAAAGATAAAGTCTGGGCTTTGAAGCAACAAGATAAATGAAGATTAAAGCAATCAAATAATTTGGACTATGTTTTGACTGAGGTTAAGATTTTGAGAACAATTAATCACCCTTTTATTGTAAACTATTTAATGTGTAATAAATGATTTATGACTATTTTAGCTTTTCAGACAACAAAGAATTTGTATTTAGTGCTAGAATTATTGTAATAGGGGGATCTAGCAATGTTTATGACGAGAGGTGTAATCCTTGATTTGAATATCAGCAGATTATTAATTGGATAAATAGTCCTTGCTATTGAGCATTTGCATAAGCACGATATACTATACAGGGATCTAAAGCCAGAAAATATTTGCATAGATGCTTCAAGTTATATAAAACTAATAGATTTTGGGTTGTGTAAATATATAACTGAGAATGAATTAACATATACACTGTGTGGATCTCCAGCTTACCTTGCACCAGAAGTTCTCAACAATAATGGAATATCAAAGTCAACAGATGTCTACTAAATAGGTTTGTTATTATATGAAATGCTTACTGGATATCCTCCATTTTATACAAGAGAGATAAATGTATTAATCAATCGAATAAAAAATGGTATTTTGCACATTTATTTAGAATCTATATATATCCCAATGAATCTAAATGAGGATGCTTAGGATCTTTTAAAGTTAATTTTAAAAAGGAATGCTTTGGAGAGAATAAACATTGAGTAAATGAAAAAGACATAAGTTTTTTGAAAATTTAGATTGGAACTTATTGGAAAAAAAGGAGATCAAAATTCCATAGCTAATTAAAGTTTTCCCTTAATCTCAAAAAGCTAGAAAAGACTTAGTTGATTCTGATTATTGTCTTAATGATTATATTTAAGATTGGGATTTTAGTACCGTATGAGAGGCTTGAACATAAAATATGCAATAAATTTAAATCAGATATTTTTCATAATACTATTACGATTATGTTAAAATTAGACTTAGACTATAAATCAGTATTTTCAACATAAAAATTTCTCTTTTCATAATTTACTTAATTCTTCAATATAAGAGTTTCTTCATTCTCATTCTATACTTGAATAGGTACAATAGGAAAAAAATCCTGTAACTAGAGTTAAAGGATTATGATTATAAATTTAATTAAGTTTTCGAATAAGTTTGAGTGAATATTAATATCATCGTCTTTTATATTGATTAAACTAAAATCTTACTAAATAATCAAGATGAAATATTGCATGTAATTTCTGCTAGCAGTTATATAGCATATTTCAAATTCAATTATAGAAATTAAAATGAGCTATTATAATGTAATTATGAAAATTAATAATTTTTTATCTAATCAAACTCTATTCTTTCGATGAATCAATGGTGATTTAATTTCTAGCTAAGTAATTAAAAATGGTAGATACATTATGAATAGATTGATTAGACTAAATGAATAGCAACTAAATACAATTGAATTAGCTAGTGAATTGGAATTATGCAACCAAGCTTACTTGAATTCATCTCAACTACAAATGAAGGAGGTTCAGATAACATTATTTAGGTAAGTTAATGAAATAGTTGTTTAAAGCAGAACTCTTTGGCAATCAATATACAATAATGAATTATAATTGACAGATGAATCGCAAGGCAACAGAATAAGATTATAGAATCATTATTTGTTTAATACGAACTTTAAATATTAACTTTCAGAAGGACTTTAATTGTGAGAAATCGAAAAATTTTCATATTCCTTTATTCATCAGGACTTTGATCATTGTTGTCTAATTATTTAAAATAAAAATTATTTAATCAATCTTATTCTGAATTTGAGCTAGCTAAAGTACTAATATAATTGATTTTTTAAATATTTCTACATTGAAAAAGATATTAAACACTGAAGAACATTGGTTCAAAATATGCATTCATAAAGTTCTAATGTCACTTAAATTGACAAACTAGATAATTTGCAAAGAATTATATCAATGCAATTGAATAGAACAAATAAATTCGGAATGCGAAAAATCACAATGTGTAACTACTTAAATTATACAAATTATCTGATTATAGTAAATACTTTAAACAAACATTTTCTATTAAATCAAATATTCTTTTTCTATGAACAACAATTTCAAACAAAATCTTCTATATTTTGACTAATTCAAATTTATTTTTTAATTGATTTATTTAGTACTTTGAGATTTCATTTCCATTCTACTGTCAATTCATTGATTTACTCAAATAATTACTAATTCTGAATATTGAGGGCCTTAGTCTATTTATCAGACTTTCTTTCCAATTCACACCTCTCATGGCATACTTATTAAACATTTCTAATATTGATATCATAGCCTAAATTCTGAGTAATATATGAATTTTCAGACTTAATAGAGATGTTAACTGTATTCAACATTCTTATTGTAATTCAAATATGGGGATTTTTAACACTTCTTATTCTTTAATTATCATCTAGCCTTCTATGAAAAGCTTACAAAAAATTCTAATGCATCATGTATATTACTAAGAACTTAATTTAATGTAATTGCAAAATCACTCATCAAGATTGATTTAACCCTTCAGATTGATTTCATGATTATTGACAAAATAAAATGCCTCTGCTAGTCGACCAAAAACTGCACTTAATTACACTTCATTTCAAATACTAATTCCAATAACAATTGTTCTCAATTTTGGTTTAACCTAGAAATGAAAAAATATAATAGTTAATACTATCTGAAAATTTTATTAATTAAGTTTATTAAAAAGAATTTTTAATCATAAATTAGAACTTTCCAACTTATCAGAAAAGCTACTTAAACATGAATTAATTGGTAAACCTACAAATCTTTAGAAAATAGTAAAGGTGAATCTATAAAATTATGTGTTTATTTAGTTTTATCTTAAATAAAAGTTGGATTAATTATCTTTTATTAAATTTTTAATATGATTACTTTGGCAAAAAAATCTATAGATTAAGATTATGAAATATTAATAAAGAAGAGCATCTATAAGAAAAAGCAAAAAAATTAATATAATACAAAGGATGACAAGTTTTAGGATTACTTTTTTGAATAAAATAAATTGAAAGTATGTAAATTAGTGGACTTTATCCAAATAAGTATACCAAAGTAGTTAATGGTGGATAATATTTTTAGATTGAAATCAAATGTATAAATACCAAGAAATAGTGATAACCAATATTAACTTGGGTAACTCAATAATGACTTTTATTGTTACAATTATAAAATCAATAGAATTGATAGGCAAGGTAGTATTACAACAGTTACATTCGACCCCATTTAGAGGTGTTTTACTCCTGTTGAAAATGTTATTGAAATCTTTGGCAGTAGAAGTGAAGTATTAAAATAATCATTCGAGAAATTGCATAGCAAAAAATTAGATTCAACCCAATACAAAGTAATGAAGGAATTAGATTTGCTTAATTTTGAAAATGCAATTAATAAACCATGTACTGGTTATATATCAAAAGTATTTGAAGGCTAAGTAATAACTCAATAACGATTCATGAATGATCTTTATTTAAATGCCATAGGCATTAACTCTGAAATGGCAGTACGCCATGCCATGGAAACAGGTTTTTTGCCTATTCCTTTATACTTTTCAGAAGATAATAGTAGTGGGTAACATTTAAGCAATTTCTTTATTTTAAACACTTTCAATCAGTCAGTTAACAATATGCAAGTTTGCAATTATAATGGTTAACAATTTCCTGTTAAGATTACGTTTCACAACTATTATTGTTACAAGGAAACTGAAAAGTGTTATTATGAATATTTATTTTTTATATGGGATATCGACAAAAAGTGGTTATCAAAGCAAAGGGTACACGAAAATTACTTAGACTATTTTAATTTAAAAAGTAGTCCAGAATCTTAAAACCAAATATACTATAATTCCGATTAAAGGTGCGGATACAGAAATATTTGACAAATTAGTTAATAATATTAATTATATATTAATATACAAATAATTGAAGATTCTTGACATTATAATTGTTATCATCTTAGATGCTTGATAATGATATTAATTGTTTAATACAATTATATTCCTATGAGAACTAATAAAATGTTATCATCATCCAGATTACATAAAATAGATTATTTGCTAGGAAGCCTACATATTGTAAATTTCTTAAACTCCATATTTCTTTTCTATTTCACAATAAGCATAGAGTTGTTCAGCAAAAAGATAGTATCCAAAATATTCTTTTTTTTATTGATTTTGATATAACAATTTTAGAATATTTATCACAAATAGCATCAAATTTTCTTCCAGAAAGATATCTAATAAATGACAAATCCATACTTATTTTAAACTGTGGTTAGATTCAAACACAAATACAAGTCAAATTCTAAACATCAACAATAGGATTTTATCAATCAAATATGACCAACATTTAATTCTTTCATTTAATTGATGCCTTTTAAATATGATTTATTTCATTTCTATCACAATTAATCAGCATAGTTCCATGACTTCCTTAAATTAATTGTCTTAAAAATTAAAAATCTATATTTGATTTCAAATAAAGAGATAGTTATAGGCAATCTAAATAAAAATATCGAGCTGATATTATAATCTATTGAAACATTTAAGGTATCTAGCTTGATTTAATTTTAATCTTATAAATTTTTTTTCTTTCATTCTTCAAAAGTCTTTATCAGTTCTTTAACAACTTATTAGTTTAATAATCCTTAAGAATCAGATTTATTCAATCTATTATCAAAATATTAAATCAGCAATTTACTTCAATTTAACAATCGATAAGCTCAATATCTCTTTTCATAAATGCACAATAGTAATTTACACACGATTTCTGAGATGGGATATTGACATTTAATCAAAGGATAGATCAACAAAAGATCAATTTTATAGTTACGAGAAATTGAACATTTTAATAAGCATGAGTTATAAAAATTCTGTTTATTTAAGTAATAAACATTAAAAAAGAACAACTTTTTTTTAAATCTCTAAACGAGACCAAAGGAGAAAAGATAATATAAGGATTTTATCTAACAAATTGGACAAAATCAAACATTCATTAAATCCCTCTCGTTATGATTGAAGAGTTACAATCCTAAGACCATTATCTCATCTAAAGGTAAGAATGATATCTCATAGAGAATATTTGGTTATTAGGATAATTAGCTGTATTAAAATTTTAAGAGTAACTTTAGAGCCTGTTTTTCACACCCTAAACAGATTAAACCTGGGTTTGGTTTTCATGCTGTTATTTTTCCACTAATATTGAATTGATTCTCAAGAATACTAAAAACTATAATTGGAAAAAAATCTTCTAAATCCATATCCAATAATACTATTTTTGAAGTTTTATCTTTAAAATACTTCATGAGAAACTTCTGCGCATCATTCATACAATGTCTTTATTTCTTCAAAATATGATGTATAAAAGTATATAAATGCAAAATCTACATTCTCTAGACTCTATTCCTCATGCAAAAAGATTCATAATCCGTTCAAGTTGTACATCTTGTAAGGGTTAAAATGATGGAAATTTTTAAGAATTTTCTAGTTGAATAAATAAATTATATATTTTTTTATATTCATGAAATTGTTGTTGTGGAGAATTATATGATGAAGGAGGAAAAGGCATTACAATTGGGAAGTGAGTAGAGGAGATTAATTGGTTTAAGTTTATTTCGAAATAATAAGACATCGCAAATGGAATATTTCTCATCTGATCAACAGCATTAGATTTACTATTTTCTAAATTTCTTATAGTTTTCTAATTAATAAAATATAAATAGTAAAAGCCTTTGATATTTGAGACGATAACAATGTTGGATGGTATTTGGTTTATTTGATGAAAATGTAGAAGGATAATCTCCATTGTAGTGTTATTTCTTCAATATGATATTATACTTTTATGTTATTACATTAAACATAAAAATTCTTCTTTAATGAAATACATCATAATAAGCTATTACTTTGACCAAGGAGGATAAAGTAATGCACTTTTTTAGCTATTTAATTATGTAATCATCTTATTAGGAGGTAATACAAAAATATCAAATGCTCGTTTAACAAAGATCTCACATTAAGTTTTTTATTTCATCTTATGGTACCTTGGTTTATCAGATTAAACTATAAAATTTTATAATCAGCATTTACTAATTTTTATTTTAATAGAAAAAGAAATTAATTTAAATGTTGCAGCTTTTAGGTAATAAAGATTAAAATCAAAGTGATTGTATCAGTGTTAATGTTTTTATTCACTTATTATAAGCAAATTTACATTTAGAAACTTCAAATCCCCCAGATATCCCCTTTTACATTTTTATAAATGGTTTCAAAGAGTAAATTTTCGCTTAAATACCGGAAACATAGTATGAATAAACTATAGAGTGTTATTTGGACAAAGGAGGTTTGATTTCTCAATATGATAACAGAACCCTTCAAATGTTGGGTTTTACAAATAATTGCACATTCCATATGACACTGAAATTATTAGGTTAAAGAATAAATGATAAAAATAATAAAAGATTATATAAAGTATTAGCGGAGTTGAAAAACAAAACAATTTAATTATTTGTGGAATAACTAAAAACTACTCCTGTATCCTCTGTTTTTCATGATATTTTGGTAGAATTATTCCAAAATTATTAACTTGATATTTCTTTACCGTTTGTTTTTTTTATAAATGGCACAGAAGTTCAACCATTTGATATTCGATTGATATAAGATTTTCAAACAAAACAAGGTATTATAATTAAATTGGTTCTTCCAAAAAAATAACCTAATCAAGATTCAATAGAAAAGTTAAAATTTGCTCTAAATAAAGTAAGTAGATTAAACGTTGTTAAAGAAAAATTATTATGATAGAGCAGATTGATAAAATGTAATATTTTACATACACTGACATTTCTCTAAAAGAGATATTTGCAAATATTAAAGAAGATTTGCAATTATAACATGGTTATGTATAATATTAAATTAATGATAAAATATTTTCTGAACTTTGTAATATTTATGCCATAAATGATTTTAAGTTTGCAATTTAATAGAATGTTGTTAAATTAATTGGAGAGTTTTATAAGAAAATTAAAATTGAGGGCTTTATAGATGGAAACCCCCATATTACTGAAGAAACCATGCCAATAAATACTTAAATGATAGAATTCCTTAAGGATATTAAATTTAAATTATTTGGCCCAAAATAAAATAATTATGATTAAGAAATTATTAAATAAGAAGATTATCATGTTGTAGTACATTGGATGATCTAAAAATGAAATCATTTATATAAATATAAATATAAATAAATAAAATCTTAATAACCTCCCTTTTTATTAGAACTACTAGAATCCTAAGGATAAAATGCATATTAATATTAATAATTTTATTTTTTAAAAACATTACCCTCTAAATCGATAACAATAAAAAAATTTATCAAAGAAATGTAGTTTTTTAGTCTATTTTCCACAATTTCCAGGATTCTTTAAATTGATTCTAATCTTTGTACTAATAAGCATAATATTAATTATCTTGTTTAAAAATATATGTAAGATAAAATAAATAATTAAAATTATTAGGCTATTTTAAATTGCATCAATAATAATGATATATTTATTCAATTCTTCAAATCTGAAATTACACTAAAAATTAAGAAACCATTGAAATTTCTGGTTTATGAAAATGTATTATCTACTTTTTTGAAATCTATACCGTAATAGAAATTTTCTTTAACAAAGATTTTCCTATACATACGAAATAATTGTCGAGAATTAAGGAAGCCTTTGTCAATTAAATATATCCTAAAATATCTCACATTCTTATTCAAACCAAAAAGAATAATTTATCTATTGATAAATGTAGTATGTTAATATTTAAATTTTATAATTTTATAAATTCATTATATGCAACTAATTTACCATTAATTCAAAAATCAAAATAAGACTAACTAAATATCATTAATATTTGATATAAAAATTATATATTTAGTACATAAAACTATAAAAGAAAATATTTGATAAGTCATTTTTTTTCTGTTCAATATAAATAATTAATGACGTTAGATTAAAATTTTTTACATTTTTTTAAGAAAATAACTATTTGATGACCCAAGAATTCGTATTGCTCATCACTTTTCTTGTTTTTTTAGCATGATAAGGTGATTTTTTTACGTATTTTTTTGGATTTAAATGAGTTTTTTAAATGCTAGATATGATGTATCTTTGTAAATATATACAGCAATTCCATTCTTTTTTAATGAAATATCTTATTTTAAACTTTAATTTTATACAAATCATGAAAGGCAAACCTTTTCCAAGAAAGAAAAACGCCAGAATGACAAATGCTTAAAATTTCTTTAATTTTGAAAATATAAAAAATATAAAATATCAAATGTCATTCAGCAAAAACATTACTATCCTGAAAATTTTTAAGCCTATTAAATCATCCTTTTTTTCTTTCTTCTAAAACTCATAATAATTAAAAATATTAATCTGTGTTTCCATAACTATTTTGAAAATCAAAAAGATTAATATAAAAAATGGCTAATTTCCCTTTAATAATGATTATTTTAAGCTTTGGCTCTTCCTTTATTTACTACGATACTGGAATGACTTATGACTTTGATTATGATTATGATTCTGATTTTGATTGCAGAAATGGTTATTCTAAAATAGTAACAACGACATTCTCAGATGAATTTGAGTAAATTCCTCAAGTATTTTTTACTAATGAAAAATTTGATTAAGACACAGCCGAAGTGGAGTTTAATCTTGAAATAACAACCATTACTAAAACATGTATTTAATATTATCGATTACGTTAATAGCATTTACATTATAAATTAGTTGTAGTGTGAATAGAGTATATAGACTGAATTTAAAATGGTTTGCAATTGATGATTAGCGTATTGAAGTGTTAAGTAACTTCAATATGGAGAATCCAGATGATAAAACTTTTTAAATTAAAAATCCAAATGCTTAAACTGGATTTGTAATAATCACAAGTTTTTCTTATACAGGACCAATTGATTTTCTATTATCGGTAATCACTAATATGATATATAGATAAGCTAAATAACAACTAATTCAGTAACTGTCAGCATTACTAAAGTAGAAGGAAAGTTCACAAATCTTCGCAAGATTGGATATTTTGTAGTTGTAGGAATTGAAGAAGCATTCATTAATTTAGGATTATAGACTACAACTGAATGTTTCAGTAGTGGTGATCTTGCAATACAACCGAATAGATGGTTTGCAATATCATTGTAAGGATTGAATTATCCAAATGATAATAATTTAAGAATAAAAGCAATACATAGTGACACACCAACAACGATATCATATACTTGGGGCACCTGTAATTATTTATAATTAATATAAAAGGGGATTAATCTGAAACTCCAAATAGTCATTCTCAGATTTGGATTGCTTATTAATTTACAAAGATATTTAAACCTTTAGAATGTTTTTCAATAAGAACCAGTAGAAAATAAGTTAAGGATTTAACAATATTTCCTACATTCTATTTAGAATTCGTTTAATCTAATTAAATTTACACTACAGATGGAGATTATGAATATTACGTCGATATATCAAATGCACCATTTAAAATGGGTATTTAAATTACATGTGAAAATGGAAAGAAAATCAAAGCAGATTTCAATAAATGCAATTCTTGTAGCTATTAAAATACTCACTCTTATACCTATAATTGCTTTAATTAAATGAATTATATTGGCTTCTTTCCTGTGTTTTAATAAGCATTTCCATAATATAATCATTTAAAAATTAATATGCAATCATCATCACTTGAAATTATAAATGTCGTTTACGATTAAGTCATTACAGAAAAAACTATAGTGAATATTTAAATATTAGATCAATGAATAAATATTAAGACATTTATAGATTTCATTGTTCAAATTTTGTTATTTAAAAATAATATTCAATTATATAACAGTAGTAATAATATTTATTAATTCAATTAATCACTTTTCTTAGGTAAATTCGATTTACTTTAATTACCATCTTTATATATAGATTATTGAATGCCAAAATAAATTATTTACTTTAAAACTAATTAGGTCATCTTTTGTATTAAAATAAGAGATTACGAGATGAATCTTCTTTCCATCTTTAATACAAAAGCAGTTTATCAAGAACTCTTAAATAATTCTAAAACTTATTATTATTAACAACTATTATCTATAAAAATAATAAATTCACGAATTCCATCTTATCGCCACTTAAGAGTTGAGAGTTGTTATAAAATGTACTAAATTATTGCCTTTCAATTCGTAATCAGCAGCCTATATGGCTAAAGCCAATCCCATCGCAAATTCACTTATTGATTTATATTTATAATAGCTTGAGCTTTATTTTACCTCTTAACATTGGAATTGCGCATCTTTTATAAAATAACTTTAGCAATCTTTTTGATTACAAAAAATATCCCCTTTTTCTGTAATATATGAGTTTTTATAGCAACTTTGATGAACCCAATTTCTTTTTGCTATTGATTAACAAGGGCACACTGGAGGGCAAGGGAACTATAATCTTACACATTATAAATCTGGATTAGGATTCATTACAATTATTTTAGACTATAAAACTTAGAAGTATTGTAATTATAAAACAATATTTTATTCTATTACTTTATTTATTAATTGAATAAAAGTTTATAATCTAATTTAGTCAACATTTGCTATTATCTTTAGATTCTAAACTTAGATATTTTAGTATTGTGAAGTTTAAATAGTGTAAAATCATAGACAATATGAATTTTATGATAAAACTTAGAACATAAAAATTAATATTTTTTAAATGCTTTTTTTATTTTTATCAGTAAAATAATTTCTGATTCTTTCATATGTACACGAAAGAATCTATTTATTTTAATATCATTTCCTTTATGGTAACAAAAATATTAATTTGTTTTAAGAAGATTATGGAGATTAATTTGATGATTGATAAAAATATCTTTTGATATAAATATAGAACAATATAAAATGTACATATATTTCAGGTGCTTTAGAATATGGCTAGATAAATTATCATCCAAATAGGCATTGTAATAATACAACCTATATATCCATATAATAGGATCAATGATACAACATCCTCAGCATTTTATTAGTATTGTTTGGCCATGACTAAAATATTAATAGCAGATGGAGTGCAAAATGTTATAAATAAAATAAATAGTTGACAAATGTCTGTCATAATTGATAGTTTATCCAATAGCAAAATAGTAGCTAATCCTAGGAAGGGTAACAGTATTAATCTATTAGCCACTATCTAAATGATTGTGGATGTCTTTTCTTATTAGGATGAATTATTAAAATAAATTAAATATAAGTTAGATCCAAGAATCATTAAGACAGATGGAGTAGTTGCTTTCGAGATTGTTTGTAAAGGTAAGAATATAGCACTATGGAGAAATGTGTCATTGATCAATTCATCTTAAATTGGATACAGAACTAAACAGCATAATGATGCCAGCACTGATAATAAAGGCATATTCCAAAAAGACTTTTCTCCTTTTGGTTCATTCTTGTTTTATGTTTATTGTTCTGGCAAAGCTATTCTTAGATCAGAAAGTTCAATCTCAGCCTGATTCTAATCGCTTTCATGTTATTCTAATATGGTTTTACCTATAGACCATCTTAAAGCATTGACTATCACAGTTTAAATAATAATTATGGTGACTAATTTCACTTCAATTTATTTTTCTGGTTATTCAGTCATTTTAGATAGATAGGTTGTAAGTCCATAGGAAAGTTGGAGTTAAATATTAGTAGTGTGAGGGTTTGCAGAGGATAAAATGACAATGGAGTTTAGTTTTTTTTCTTTGATCCAATACTTATTGCTAAATAATCCTATGCAGTAACCAAAGAGTAAGCAGCAAAAAGTTGTAATAATACTAGGTATTAATGTTATTAGTGAACTAATTGTGACTGCTTTAAGAAAGTTAGTAAAAATCAATGATGGAAGAAATAGCCTTTCAACCAGACTGGATAAGGTTGTTGTGAATTATTTGTTCATGACTTTTGTATGGGTTAGAAGAGCACCACTCCCTGCAATGGCTAAAACACCAAATGTTGCTGAAACTACCGCTCGTATAATATTTATAAAAATCATAAACAAAATTTAATGAAAATATTTAAATTTTCTGAATAATTTCTATAACTCTTCATTTTCTTATCACCCAAGAATGGTCTAAAATATTAAGGTAAATTACTTATTTTTATGCATTTTAATTAAGAAATAATTTCATTAATATATATTTACAACCAATTTAAAACTAAATATACTTTTATGATAATAATCGATAAATCTGTAAACATATTTTACTCATGCAATAAATACAATTAAATATATGATCATCCATAATGGCAAAGTGATTATAGCTAAGAGATAACTGTGTAATAAAACAGTTGCCACTAATTCTTCAGCTGATTGTTGATATTATTTTGCTAATAATAGTATATTAATTGATGACGGAGTACAAAATGTTAGAAATAACATAAACAATTGACATTTATCATCAATTATATTCTGACTTAGTATGAATATCACCATTATCATACCAATTATTGGCATCAAAAGTATTCGGTTGAATACTATGTATAATATTGATTAATGTTTTCCAAAATTTGCTGAATTTCCCATATAGATTTCATAAAGGCTGCTTCCAAGAATAAGCAACATAATAGGAGATGTCACTTTTGATATTGTTTAAAGTGGTGCAAAAATTATATTGTAAATTAATGGATTAGACAGAATGGTAGTTTAAACTATTGGGACGCATATACATGCAATTGAAACCACAGCAGCAGTCAAAGGAGCATTCCAAAATGACTTCTTTTAAGAATCATTTTCACTCTTAAACGTCAATTGTGATGATAATGGAATCATCAAACAATGAGACTATGGTTCTGATAGATTTGTCATTTCTAGTTCCATCTCCTATTGTTGTAAAAGACTTCTTCCTATAGTCCACCTAATTGAGGTCATGATAACAGTCTAAATAATCACAGTAGTGATAAGAGTAGCTTCAATTTATTTTTCAGGTTAATTAGTCATCATCGCAAACCACTTGCTCAGACCATAACATAGTTATAATTGTAAATTTGTAGTTTGCGGATTAGCTGTAGCTAAAACTATTACTGAATTCAGTGTTTTCTCTTTAATCCAATATTTATTACTAAGAGTACCAAGTAAATAACCAAAAATAAAACATAACAAGGTGATGATGATACAAGGGATATATTGGTGCAGTATTTCGAGTGTGAGACTTTTTAGAAAGTTGGTAAAAATTAATGTTGGAATAAATAAATGCTCGGTTAAACTAGAAAGTTAGCTTGTGAGTTGTTTTGTGATAACTTTTTTATGGGTTAAATATGCTCCACATCCACTTATAAAAAATACACCAAAAGTAGTTGATACAACTATGATGATAATGGTTAATATCTCCATTTATTTTAATTAAATAAGAATAAATTCAAATATAGTATAAAACTATTGAAAAATATCCCAATAAAAATAAATAATTGTTATTTGTAATGACGAAATTTGCTCTAATTTTTGCCTTGCTTTTAATTTGTAATTTTGGAAAGAAAACCATATATGACAGACTACATGGAACACACATAGAGGAGGAATTCGAAAATGAAGTCGTTACGGAAATTACTATGTACGATGAGGAAGACCCTAAATTGAAATATGAGAAAATGATGAATACATTTATGAGATTAAGTAAATGATTAAATATTCTATATAGATGAGACCGAAGTAATCGGTTGTAGAAAAACAGATCATCATGAATTCTTTGGAATGTTTTTTTAAAATGCTGGAAGGATTGGAAATGGTGGGTAGAATGATATTAATTTGATCAAATATGAGGATGATTGCTACGAGTCAATGAGTGTATCATATGATACAAATGACAAAGAAAAGTAAGTTTTATGACCTATAAACATTTTAGTCGTGTGAGGGTTACATTCACTCCAGGAAAATACAAGAATAGCTAACAATGTTCAGAATTCTATTTGATTGGAACAACCTTGAATTACAATATTGTCAACATTAAAGATTGTAAATTTATTATAATTAATTTAATTTAGAAAAGGAACACACAGTCTATTTTAATTTTAGAAATCAAAAATAAGTTGAAGCCTTTAAGTATTCAGGTGCTTACATCTTCAGAACTTGTGATTATTTGGAAAATTGGTTTGGTGATCTTTTGATGACCTTAGAATTATTTTTTGGTGGATTTTCAAGTAATCCATATTTAGGTCCAATCTTCGGAAGGTACTCTAATTTTAAATATAATAGTCAACCACCTGATTGGATGGTAAGATCAAATATAGAATTGATAGAAAGAGCAACTGGTTATAGATGGTAAGAAAGACCTAATGTGGTTGTGGATTTAAAGGCTAGTGAAATACAAAGTGGAGATTTTCTAGCTGTAACTAGATTTGATGGATTAGATTAAATTATAGAATGGGGAACTGGAGGTAGAATTGGACACAGCGCTATGATCTTTGAAATTGATGGTGAAAAATACGTCATTGAATCATAAGATGCTTGGTATTGGCCAACAAAAAAAATACAAAAGACTAAATGGGAAGATTGGAAAGTCTATGCTAAGAATGCTGGATTTAATGTTGCTGTTTTACCATTGAGTCCAGAAAAAAGAGCATAATGGGATTAAGAAGGTGCTTTGGCTTATTGGAAAAAGATGGAAGGATAACCATATGGATATCACACATTTTTATTCGGTTGGATTGATACTCCAACTGACAATTATCCAAAACCATTGAGTGCAGAATTTGCCACTTATATGTTTTCTTTCTTTGAAAAAATAGCACCTGGACCAATCACTTCATTGGTTGGAGAAGCATTGAATAAAAGATTGGGCACTGAAGGATTATCAGTATCAGAAGTAGCAATAGAAGCTGCAAAACAAGGAATAGAATTGGTAGATCCTCTATTTATATTTATAGGCTGAATTATATGCTATGGTAGAAAGAGATGAATGGGTGTATAGTGATGGTCCAAGTCAAGCATGTGCTGCCTTTGTAACTGGCATGTACAAAGCTGCTGGCCTTTTCAAACCCTTCCATATTGAAGCACTTGAGTAATGTTCACAATTTTAACATAGGTTTACACCAAAAGATATTTATCAATTGAAATTCTTTGATTCAAATTACGAAGTTCCAAAGAAATGTAAGAAGAATGATCCAGATCTTCCCTATTGCTAATTGATGGGAACTCACAGAATTGAATTAGAAGGATACAATACAGTCGAACCTTATGAAAATATGAATGAGAGATGTCCAAGCGTTGCTCCTGAATTCATAAGACCTGATGGCTGTTGATGTCTTCATAAAACAGAAATTTATTAATATATTTAGATTTTATATTATATCAAGGTAAAAAGTTGTCTTCTACCCCATCTTAGAATTGTTCGTCATCTAAGTTTTATCTTACATTTGTCTTAGGAGGTGGTTGCTTATTCCCTCTCCTATTAATTAAATCATACTGATAATTACCTTGTGTTATTTGTGAAACTAACTGGATTATCATCACCTTAAGGTAATCGAACCTATTCTTCTTCATTATTTATTAAATTTATGTCTTGACCACCCTAATACCCTTCCATCATCTCCATTTCTCTTTCCAATTTTCTTAATTACCCTGCATATTCATCATAAGGCAATCCCATTTCTCTACACAATTGCACCAAGAATCGGAGACCTAAAGTAAGTAATAACTTTGATACATTCAATGTTATCGGGGTAATCAGAATAGATTTTCTAATAGTTTCCTAATGCCTTTTGGAAATGTCCCATTCTTCTATAACAACTAGCAACCATTAATTTCCATTTCACATCTCTTGTTTACACTTGTGCTGCTCTCTCAAAATATAAGCTTGCCTTTTCATACATTTCCTATTTCACATAATACACTCCCAACCATGATATTGTATCTATGTTTGTCGGTAATATTCTATATGATTCTTAAAAATAATGTAATGCTTGAGGTTCATCATCTTCCTGTTAATTAATTTATGATATAATTTACCCTTGCAAATAGTGAACCTAATCTGGCTAGAATATTTGGATCATTTGGTACTTTGTTCAACAATTCTAGATACCATTTCATTGCTTATTTTGAGTTTCCTGTCATTTCATAGAGTGTGGCCATTTAATACAAAACCTCAGGGATACAGACAATAGTTTATAATTTATCTAATGCCTACAAGGATTCGATAAACATATTCAATTTTCTATTTACATAGGCCAAATTGTAGAGTGCTTCTATACAATCTGCTTCAACACCTATAGCTTCTAGATATTATTCTTTGGCTCTCAAGAATTCATTTTTCACATATAAACAATTTCCTCTGTTAACTAAGGCCTTAGCATTATATCGATCATATGTAATGGCAATTTCAGCATATTTTTCAGCTTGTTTATAATCATTTTCTAAGAAATACAAGAAGGAGATGTTTGTAGCAATACGAGCCATGATTTGCTTGTCCTTTTTTTCGAATCCCTTGAGTGTTTCTATAGATTTCTCAATATTCTTTTTTTTTAAATAGGCCATAGCCTTGCATATTTCGATTTCAGTTTCAGCTTCAGGGAATGTAGAATTCTTGAGTTATTCTAAGATCCATTCATATCCTATAATAATGTCATCTTCAATCAATGGAGCAATCAGTTTTGCTGAAGTGGCAATATAATAAATGGCTTTTTTTCTTCTTTTTTTAGTATCTTCTCTCAATTTATCTGTAATAGTAGTTCCCTTGTTTTTCATTATTCTCTTCTTCACCCTCTCCTGGTATTTCGATGGTTAGGAGAGTAACAAAGTAGTCCTTCATTTTATTCTTATTTCCACTAAAATACAAACAAATCAGAAGATTGAACCCAGTTGGGAAATCAGGTGAATTCTTGAGTATTTATTCATAAGTGGTCATTGCCTCTTTGATTTTATCTTTGCCCATCCTTACTTGAGCATGACCAATGTTTTTTTGTATTTTGAATCTCATTTCCTTGGAGGTGGCAGGGATCAAATCCAAAGCCATTTTGTACATTTTGATGGCAGTAGAATATTTTTTCTATTCAAAATAAATGTTTCCCATATTGACTCTTAATCGTCCTGCTTGTGGATACTATTTACATTTGATGATTTCTTGATATTTTGCTAAAGCATCTTGATGGAGTCCATTCGCATGTAATGCACATGCTTAAGTTAAGGCTGCACAATAACTTAGGTCAGGGTTGATTGATTCAACTAAATTTTAGGCTTCTTTAGATTGTCTTAGTTTCTTTTCTTTGTTGAATGCTTCTTTAGCCTTCTCCAGACATTCAGAGAGATTGCCTCTCAATTTAGCCATGGCACTCTATTCAATCAAGGTATTGATTTCTTTTTCGATTGCTTTGAACTATTCTTCAGGATTAGTTTCAAGTTTGGGTTTATTCAAATTAATTTGATTTTGAGTAGAATTGAAAGGGTCCTTCTTCTACCCAAAATTGGCTCCTCTATTGGAAGTCATAGGTCTTGCTTCAGCTTGAGGTTGTCTGGCAGCTGTGCCTAGAGGTTTGCCTCGAGAAGGTTATGGTCCACCTGGTGCAGGTTATTATGCCTAAACTTGAATGAATAATGTTTTACTCTAACGTTTTCAAAATTGTAATTATTGACAGGGGGTTTACTACCAGTTTGATTGAAATTATTGCCACTCATACCAAAGGCTCCATATTAGATTAATTCATAATATATATATTATTATTTAAATTTTGGTTAATCATTCTCCAAGAAACAGGATTTTACATGAATTGAAAGCATAGAAGAACATCTGGAATTCATCATATTGCATATTTAATTTACGTAATGATAATTCTTTTTACATATTGATCTAATAATATTTGATATAACAAAATTACTTCGTCTGTTGCTCTTTATGATTAATTTGGCTTTGTGGTGGCTAATGTTTTGGCTGATTTCAGATCAATATTGAATTTATTTTTGATTTCTTTTCTCCAATGAAGAGATTCAAATTATCCTTTTTAATCTAATAACGTTAAGAAGAATTGAATGCCCAAAATGAATCCATCGTCCTATGTTGATATTAATAGATATTTACACTAATAAAGACTTCAGTAGTTGAGTTCTTCTTACCAATTTGATCTTTTGAAATTAACATTTTTTCAATGAAATTCAAAGTCAATGTAGGAACAATCAAATAAAACAGAGACAAATGTTCATTTTCTGGTGTATTAATACTTGAAAATGCCTTCAATAACAGGTTTATATAATCAATCTTCTCAGAAAAACTACTCTTATATTATGTAAATATCTCTTCCAATTCCTTTGCAGTACTTACTGTGGCATCTAGTATTGAATATCAAATACATATATTTACCACTAAATCCAGCTTCTCTTGTCAAAGATTCTAATTGAGTAGGATTGTATTAACTTGGAACGTATTCTAAACATTTTGAATTAACATGTAAAGCTGCTGATCTCAATAATCTAACAAATGCTAATGAATTTCCTATTTGTGTTATTAAAGTTCTGAATTTGTCAAGGTAATTTGTTCCATCATCAAATGTACCCATTTTCTTGATCTCTTTGTATAATGCCTCTGCTCTATCATAAGGATATTGACCATCCAATTCATCCTTCTTTTCCCTAAAAAATCTGTCTTCTCTGACCAACGGAGATTGAATTAGATCATCAAATAAAAATTGTGAAAACATTTAAATTTTTCTAGGATTCACATATAATATTATACTTTTGTAAGAATTTATACACACTATTAACTGTTGTACTCAGGATACCAATACCATGAGTTCTAATTGAATCTGCAATTTATTGAATACTAATTGAATAGACTTATTTACTCTCTGATGTTACCTATATTGATAATATAAACTTTATATACCTAAACAAATTATTGCTAATATAAATTGTATGTGTATTTAGTAAAGAATTGTTGGATATTCTTGAGAACATTGAGCACATCGAAGTTTCCTTAATCAACTGTTTAAGTTGGTAAATAAACATTAATTAAATTCAATCCAAATTTAGAATTTGCTAAACTTCTCATTTATTCATAGGTCTCTTGATCATACATATTGAGAACATTGATATTATAGAATGTTTCATTGAGGATTTGATTGATCTCAGTTCTTAAATTCACAATTGAATCAAATATCAATACATAATCAATATCTAGTAATCTTTTCAAGTCTTTCACTTATTATTTGAATGGGTTTAAAGCTGTAATTTTTTCAATCAACACTGTATGCACTTAAATTCTTAGATAATCCTCAATGTCTCTGGCCAATGGTTATAAGTATTGTGCATAAAACTCTTTAACAACATACTATCTAAATGAATCAAACAATTCATCAGGATTTTCTAAGTGCATACAATCTTTTAATTGGATTGAACAATCAGAAACAGCATTCAATAAAAATTAGAACCTTTTTGCTTATGATGGATTTTAATAGATGTATTAAAAGAATGAAGGTAACAATTCTCTACACCAATAAAAGTAAGTGCTTGCTGTCACTTTTTTTACATAGAATGGTAATAAAATTAATTTATCAAGTTTCCAAAGAATATTTCTAAAATCTTCCTTCTCTGAATTAGTGAATATATCCTTTGCAACCATGAAATCCATCAAATAATACATTGTCTATAATTTCAAAGGCGAAAGTGTGCTCTTGAGAATAGAATTCAAAATTTATAATGCTCCCAATATTTCAGCACCTCCAGTACCAAAACTCTTAATGTTTGCCTTCATCTTCTCTAATACTTATTAAATGATTCTCTGTCCATTTTTAGTTATATGATTTTAGATTAAGGCAGGTTAAAAGACATCATATTTTTATTCGAAATAATACTCTATTGCTTTTAGCATCTCCACAGCCAAAACAACATCCTTTGATAATGACATATCTAAAGATTGTTCTTCTAATCCAAAATGTCCTAATAACAATGCTTATAATAGATTCCTTGTTTGAGAAGCTATTGTCAATCCTTATAACACTAAAATTACTCTCTAATTCATTCTCTCTTCAATATACTTCTGTGCTCTTTCTCTATCAATCTTATCAATATTGTTAAAAGAAGCTTAACTACAAGAGAATGAGTCAACTCTAACAATCCAAGTTGTGAATGCAACATATTAAGCAGTTAATGAACTTTAAAATGAGGCTGATAATCTTTATAGATAACCCTTAAAATTGGCAATAGGATCTTTTGGATCCATGGTTGCACTCTTTTTTGATAATGGAGTGACTTCCATGAGGAATTTACTCAAATAGCATAGAACTTGGGAGTGTCCATCTACCATTGGGACCTTCTTTTATAGAGACCAAAGGTTCTTCCATAGATCTCTATTTTCATCATTTTGATATAATTATCTGACTAGAGCATAAACACAAAATGTTGGTAATAATAAATCTCTTTCGAACATTTCTTTAGCAGTTCCTAAGGTTTTATCAAATAATTCATATCTTTCTTTGAGGTATGTATTGAGAACATTGTAGAATTCTTTATTGTTTTTGATGGCAGGAATATTGGCATTTTTCTCTTTTCCTGTTTTTTCATGCACATTTTAATCCCAATTTTGTGCTAAAACTGATTAGAGACAAGATCCAGATAATACAGTCTTGTCTAATCTGATCATAATTTTTTCTAATTGTCTAACATTTTAGGCATTAGAATTAAATTTAGTGGGATCTGGTTTCACAATTTTTATCATTCTCTTACAAAAATTCCAATGTTCTTATAAATAATCATTCTATTCTACAACATTGTCTAAGATGTAGAGCAGTTGCAATGCTCTTCCTATTGTATCTAATGGAAAGTTTAAGTTAAAGATTTTAATGATTTTAGAAATGGGATCCTTTTTATTGTAAAGTAAATTCAATTGATTGACCAAATGGGTGATGTAATTGATGAGTTTTTTAATTATGTCATATATTGCCTTGAATTAACCAAGCATTCTACATATCATGATTTCAGCCTCACCATCAGTCAATTTTCTCTCTTCTTCTAAATGAAGATCTGCCAACTCTCCATAAATAGTCAGTTTATCAAGGAATTTATAGACACTATAGAATAATAGTTGTTGATATACTTGATCTTCTATTTATCTAATTTAATTGTCGATGAAGACAAAGGATGCACTTATCTTATCAAAGACTTTGTTGTCTGACTTCATGAAATCAAACAATCCCATATTCTTTTCATAAACCATGAAATGACTCTGAATGATGCTTTCATAATCTGGCGAAGTCAATGGGATTTAATAATCCTCTTCGAATGCTGAAAACTTGACTATGTGATTGTTGTACAACTCATTAAACTTTTAGAAGTACTCCTCATAGGGTTTAGCTGATAATAAATGATTAGTGATTACATGCAGTTAACACCTCTTTTCCAAATAGACCATCATCTTCTAAATCAATATCTTCCTCTTCGTCAAAATAATTTTGTTTCTTCTGCTCCTCCTTTTGTTGCTGGAATCTATTTTTCTTCATTGTATATTATTATTATATATAAATATTAATAATGTCAACCAATATATTGTACAAACTGATTATATCCCATTCTATAATTCTTATTAAAATCATCGTAAATTAAATTTTGAAAGAAGACATCCTCCCAATAACTCTTACATCCTTACTTCACAATATACAATGGTGCATACTTAGTGTACTTATTGCTAAACACAATAACATTGAATGTTTACTTTCTCAACTCTGCAATTAGATAATGTAGTTTATCATTAATAATGTTTTTGGAATTGGAATATAAATTATCCTCAATTAAATTGATACTACAATACTATTTCCCAAAGATGTCAGACATCTGGTTTTCATCATGTATTCTAGTTATTAAGGATTCATTACTTGCATATAAAAAGTATCAAACAATGACCACAATCCATAAGTAATAATCCCCCATTCGAAACCTCTTCCAAGACCAAAGAAATGGGTTATGGATATATGAAATACCCACTGTCATCATAGATGCAATCCTGCTCTTGCAAATTGGAAATATTGTATAATTGAGGTACTAAGTAAGTAACCAATTCATCAACATTTAAATACTGGAAAATAGATCTGAAGTAATTCATACGATCTGTAAGAACTGACTATTGATCATAGGCATAGTTGAGTATAGAAGATTTCATGATTCCTAACATATAAGAATTTAATGATTCAAGGGGTTCTTTGAAAATCTTACAATTATTAGATATTGATCTGGTTGCCGTAATTAAGAATTCTTTGGTTTGTATACAGTCTTTGACATCTCTGGCAATATTTAATTGAGATAGAGCAATCTTATACAATGAGATTGCTAAACATGATTAATCAATTTAAGAGTAGATTGTCTTTATTGAATTACTAATTGGAATACAAAAGTTATGAACTCGTATTCTTCTCTCCCCCTTGGTGGATGTGTAGAGTAGAGCAGTTTATAGATATAAATTATCATAAGGGGCTCTAGGTTGATTCAATTCTAGTTCATACATCAATACCTTTTGACTATTCTTTAATCATAAATACTTACTCTTCAGCACAAATTAAATTAAGCAGATCTGCATTCTTAATTGAATAATTCCCGTATATACTTTTGATTTTCCATCCAATCGATGTTCGAATTCTGAAGACTGATTCCCAAGTATACTCTTTATGTAAAATTGCACGTAAATCGTAATAAAATTTTTGAGCTTAAATTAATAAGGATAATTACCTTAAATGGTGGGATCATCATAATAAAAGATGTCACCATTCAAAAGTTTGACTAATTGATTTAGAGTGGCAACATTATTGAACCCACAAGGTAGAACAAAGATTGATGGAGAAATGTAGTTCAAATGCATTTTTTCAGCTATTTACTTTAATACATTATTAGTTGGTAAAAAGTGATTCTGAGGTGATTTAGCGTTATCAGTTAGATTCAACTCTTTGATAGGTGAGGAAGTCAAGATGATCAGCTTACCTCCGTTGTCTTACATGATATTTTAGGCCAACTTAAATGCTGATAAGAATTAAGTGCTCCTCAATTGTGGTTTAGGAAATAGATGATCTAATTGATTCAAAAAGGCCACAATAATATCTTTAGAATCCTATAAATCAAACAAGTAATTGCCTGGCATTGGCATTTCATTGTCATCAGTTAACACATACATTTATACTTATTTAAGTTTAGAACTGAAGTTGTACAAATGTATGCTAGTGTCAAATGTAATGAATCCAAACAATGTTCTTTCATTAAATTTATCCTCCAAAATCATATCTTTAATGATCTATCCCATAATTCCTAGTAATTCTTAACTCTTCTGTGACACGTCAATCATAAAAAAATAAGCAGGGGCCATTGGTGGTCTGACCTAATACTCTTACCCTGCCTTAATATCATATGATCCAGTCGTCAAATCGGATCTCTTCTCTAAATCTACAGGCTTAAGGAGGTTGTTGGGTATTTTTATAATGCATGTACAAATATTGCATCTCATGTACTCCTCTTCCTTCAATTGCTCCATAAAAGGATTGATGTAAGCTCTGCAATTCTGGCATCTCAATATTGGATTGTTTCCATAGTTTACAGTAGGAAATCCTTATTCTATGGATTACCCATGAGGTTGTATTATGACAGCAAATGGAATTTTGGCATCCATATAAACTTATTTAGTTCTGGGAAACACTCTGGATGTGCTCCTTATGGAATTAATTGAATTGTATTATTCACATGCCTCCAAATTCTTGAGAACATCAGAATCTTAATTATCGGAATTTTATTTTCCATACTCCTAAGCCTACGGCTCTGGTTGCTATTATTATTATTGCAGAGAATCCAATCTGCCACTCTTCTCCAAAATTTTCCTATGAACACTCATTTTATTATTATTTATTAAATATAAATGATTCACACACTCTATAGATGGATGCCACGATTCAGATTTGCATCAAAACTTGGATCATCCAATGTAGCTTCTGGTACTCAAACATCAGCAACTCAATCGAATCCCATTCCTGTTTATTTAAGACCATATGAAGCCAAGAAGTACGAGGTACCATCGTCAAAAATCAAATTAACTACTGGATACAGTTTCCTTGATGTTGAGCCTATGCCAAGAGCAAAGATAATGAAATTATGCTACACTATACTTGATAAATTAAAGGCAGAAATCCCTGAAGGCGTTCTTTACAGAATATACACTGAGGAGAAATTAAAATATATTATGAGAATTACAGATGAAATTGAGGATATTAGATAACTTGAAGAGGAATTTGGTTTTGAACAAATAGAATTTCTTATCTAATCACTTGCCAAAGAAGTTGACCTAGTTGATCAAATGAAGTATACTCACTTTTATAATCTTCTAGATATTACAAGCCTTGGGAGAAGACTCAAGAAGATAGCACCTTTGAATTGTTAAGACAACGACACCCTGCTTTGAAACATTAAAGAAACGAAAGACCACCAAGGGAATAAACTAAATTTATTGGAAATTGATATTCACAATAATAATAACAATAATAAATATTATATTCATGAGCTTACTAGAGGAGATCTAATAAGAAGTAAGATTCTTGTTTGTATCATTTGTATAGATTACTAATTACTTTCCAAAACTTACCAATAAGTTACAAGAATTAGGACAATCAACAATAACAATTCAATAACCAAACACAGCTTTAAAAGGAATTCAAATAATCATTTCAGTCCTTGACGACTTATTTGGGTATGTTCTATTGATAAATCTCTAGAATTCTATTAGAAATACACACTTAATATGCCTAATTAGAGGAATAATTATAAAAGTATGAAGGAGAGTGTAGATCTCATATAAGGGTATCAAACACTAAAATTACATTAGACAGAACAGAGACTCAAAATTCATTGTGAAAACATTTAAGAACTCTACGAGTAGTAACTGAATATAGAGAAGGATCATAAAGCTTAAATCTTGGTATAAATGTTTACTCATGCATTCCTTAGAGTTATCAAAAGGAGATTACGTAACTGAAGAAAGATATTGAGGATAACAAACACTAGAAGAATCAGCAATTGCAACACAAAACTTAATCAATTATAGACAAAATATTGTTGGATCAATAGAAATAAACCATTCAACTTGATATTAAATCCAGATCAAATACATTCCATAACAATTTTATGAATCTCAATTAATAAAAATAATCTATGTGTCTTAAAACAAATACCAGAAAAAACAGAATGGCTACTGAATACTAAGATTATTAAACAAAGTAAATATTGTAAGTATACAACCAGTTCTAAATAATCGATTGAAGAGAAACAATATTCATCTCTTGAGAAAATCTAGGAATTGGCAACCCTTTACTCTCGACCAAAATCTAGATTGTAAGATAATATAAACAAAAAATCTGTTACTTTGCATGTCGCTTAAATGAAAGTCAAATAAGTAAAAAAAACTTGACACATACATTTATATATATTTTGTCATTTGCAATTTTACAATTTATAGTTAGTCACCAAATATATCATATCTTCGAGAAATAATTTAGAGTATTTTTCTAAATCATAATTTGATTTTAATTCATCAGAAGATTAACTTCTTTTTAGCTATTTATGAAAACTAACATCAGGAAATTAATATGAATCAATTATTGTCGCTTCTGTTGATTTCTATATGATTATTGTCTTCTTCTTTTTAACTTTAATGGCACTCGATTATTTTAAAGGTTAAGCTGAACATTCTTTGGAATCTACTATTACCTCATCCATGAATTAATAATTATATTTTTCTAATCCACAAATCTATCCTAAATATGTTTTCCTGGGTAATCTTTGTAATCTTGTATTCTTTCCTTCATTCAATTTTCTTGATACCATAGTGGGAGCTCTTAACAATTTTGGTTTAACAGTAGGAGGAGAGGATAATTTCGTAATGGAGATTTGGTTACTCTCCTATTCTGAATGTTATTATTGTTGATCTTATGCTTTTTTTAATTTTGTTAGATTCATTACTAATTTTGAAAATTTATTGCCAGCTTAATTATTGCCTAATGATTATCGTTGTTCCTTTTTATTTTGAAAGAGTTGTACAAATTTGCTTTTCAATTTGTTTTTCTTTTAAATTTCTTTCTATTGTCTAACATTCTCTGCATACAATTCAGCATTATAATTTTAGAGTCTTGCTATAGAATTTAGATTAGACATGGGTGTAAAATTGGTGTATTCTTTGATTGAATCAGTTCTAAATGAATCTTTAATTCTCAATACACTTGGTTTAGTCTAATGAAAATTGATATACTTTTCAAGATTAAATGCTTCTTCAGTGATTTATTAGATTACTTATTAATTTCTTTTATTATTTAGATTTTTCAAAGTATTACATTTCTTTCTCTGCCTCCTTCTTTCATTAATAAATAACTTAATTTCTTCATTATATTTCTCTATGATAGTGATTCTATCATATTTATTTATAACATAATGTACATTGGGACAATGCTTGGCTGTATGATTAGGAGCTTAACATACATAACAAAATAAATTCAAATCTTCATAATCTTACTCAAACTCTATTTTGAATTTCAATTAAAAGAATTTCTCAATATCTTCTATTTCACATTGCTCCAAAAATGATTTTCTAGATAATCTAAATAAATTGATGAAATTTCTAGCTTTCACAGAAGCACATCTAGGGACATTCCCAAAAAATGATATCTCTCCAAAATACTATTTCTTACTCAACTCCACTAATTCATTGATTCCCTTAGACTTTGGAAAACACACAGATACTCTCCCATTCAAAATAAAGAATATAGATGTCTAATCGTTAATTGGGTCATTCTAATTGATAATCCAATCTTCTGGATTATAAACTAAATTACATAATAAAATACTTTCTTCTTGAAATGTGAATGCCAACTTCTTTAATAATAAAGATGAAAAATTCTTACTCAAAAATTTGATTTAATTCATCATCTTACCATGTACAATTTGAGTTAATTGATTTTTTAATGGCAATGACAGCTTCTCAAGTGTGTCATGAGCATAACTCTTTTGTAATTGTTCATCTTCTATTAACCACTCCAAGTAATTCTTAATTCTTGATTGTAATTTCTTATTCACTTCCTTTTATTTCATATATCTACATCAATTAATTTATTTACTTAATGGCAGCAGTATTCTTATTTAATAGATCCTCCAATGATTCATTCATATTCTAAAACAATAATACAATCGAATTCATAACATAACCAAACACACCTGAAGCCAAAATCATAACAAAAATCCCAAATGATCTTTCTACTGTATTCTTAGGCGAAATGTCCCCATATCCAATAGTAATCATTGTAGTTATGCTTTATTTCTTCTATAATATAAAATATACCTAAAATATATTCCAGCCACATACTAATTAAACCAAAAGTCTGGATCATTATCTTTCTCTTGATTAAAATTAATCACGTATTGAGTATACCAATTATTATCCGTCTCTTCAATAAACCTGATGGCATTCCATATACAAGCCAACCAATGAGATAAACTCAAAATTATCAGGCAAATCTTAAAGAAAGATATAATTGATATGATCGTTTTATCCTAGAATAAGGTATCCTCTATTTAATTTATGATTTTCTTCAATTTCAAAGCTCTCATCAATCTAATCACCTTAATGAATCTAACAATCCTCATGATCTTTATGATCTGAGTATTCCGTTTCAACGACTATGAATTTGATTCGTCTATAAATAATGAAAGTACATCATCATATGGGAAAGATGATATTAAGTCTAACCAAAACCATAATTTTAAGTAATTTAATGCAATCTGCTTTCTCTGACTCACAAAAAAACCCCTACAAATATATTTACTCTTTAATACCCTTCATAATAACCAGTTTAAAATTACATTAAAATGTCAATCAAGAAATAGTAGTCCATTATGTCATTAAAGATTGCGAAACCACCAGTTATTTCAAAACTAAAAGTCAAAATTAGTGGGATTGTTATCATTTGAATAAATATAAATGACATTCCAATCAAATCCCATATAATCTTTTTGGGCTCTTCTGGTCTGATAATTTTAAACAGCAACAAAATAACCCACTTCTATTGCTAATTCGATTAATCTTCGTTGTGTTCTTCCAACCTTTTTAACTATTCTGCATCAATGTATTATTAATCTTTCAATAAAGTGATTTGCGTTTTCTTCTTATTATATTCTGTATCGTTTAGCTTTCCATATGATTAATCACCTAAATTAAATCGACTTCTACCTATCAATTGCAAACCTTCTCTTTATACTAAGTTTTCTATTGCACTATTTTAGCTAATCAAACTTTGGATTACATTTTATTTAATTTACATTTTATTTATTATAATATTCCTTATACTCACAAAACATCAATTCCTATTCGAACTTAGCAACCTCCCTTATTCATTAGATTTATAACAAAAATTAATTAATATTATCAAATTATTTGGATCCCTCCTCTCCGAAAATCAAATTTCCAATTACATTTATTATATATTATTATCCAATCAATCTTGCATTACAGAATCGTAATTTTGTTGTAAAGGTCCTAAATTTTATTATTGAATCTTACTTTTAAATGGATTACAATGAATCATTCTCCAAAAATGTCATATTCAATTCATAGGTTGAAGCAACACTTAACAATTATTTGTTAATTGCAAATTAATTATATTTTTAAATTAAGTAGGTGATTACTTCATTTTACAATTTTCTAATTGAACAAGTCTCATTGTTGTTTTTATTCGCAATATAGTTTTCAATCATCTCGTAGCAGTATGGTAATTACTTTAAATAATCTTCTTCTGGCATTAGTTTATTACTTTTGGATATAGGTAATCCTAGATTTATGATGCCTTTGTTGCTCTTAATTTAATCAATATTTTGATTTGAGTTCTCTATTATATAATCAAATACGATTGGACATAATTATTTAATCATGTGGATCTAGGAGCATATCAAAGATTGACTTTTATTCTAAGTACTCTACTTAGATTAAATCTCTTTGATTTCAATACAGCATATCCATTGTCCATTTTATTCATTAAATTCTATTTTTGGCTTAAGATCAAATTATGTGATGATAGTATTAAATATATCTCTTATAGAACCTAATTTCTTTTTTTGAATTATTTTTAGTATTTAATTTTGTTCAGACTCACTCAATTCATTCCTATGAGTAAAAGATGCAAGTTTCTTCTTGCTACTTGGTTTGTAGTGATTTTCATACATATCATTTACATAGACAATTTGAGTTTCTTCAATTTTGGCACTTTCCTCATTTGTTTTGGTATTCGATAGATCAATATTTTAGAACCTTTGCAACTAGTTTAATTGGAACTCTTAAAGAAAATTTAAGTAGTCACTCATGTTTTAAAATAAAAATAAGGATTGGAGTTATTGATGAGTTAATTGAAATATATTAGACCATAAATTCAACTATTAGAATAGAATGCTATCTAATTCAATTTATTATATAATATTCTCTATCTATTATTAATCCGATAATTCATGTTCTAATATGGGGGATGTTAATTATCTTAGAAATAGTATAAACAATTATCTATTGTGTATAAATTAGTTGATATAATGTTGGAGAATGGTATCTGGCAATAATAATTTATCTGATCTGTATCTCATCACTCTAACTTTATTGGCCATACTCAATGGATTGCTATCATCCTTGAAACCTGATGGTTCATACTTAGATATTGTTGAAATCATAGGACTTTGTTATTGTTTCACAAGTAAGTGAATGTAAAGATCATATACTTTACTCATTTTCTAGTTACTTTAAATTATCTTAACTAAAATAAAATAAAGTATTAAAAATTAATCATTTTTTCTCCCTATTCAAACATCCAAATGCTAGAAACACTCTGTCCATAAAAGATAACTTCTCTTCTTATTACTATTATTGTAATTAATGTTGATGCATCATAATCTCATTCCTATTAGACACTCTACTGATTCTGGGTTTATTAAAGTCTTCCTATTTATTGTTATTATAGTCATTTTAATAAGCTTTGTAATTAGTTGCATTATTATTTATTGGCTATTCTTTATATTTGTTGTAATCTTATGAAATCGGTCTGGCTATTGGATCTTTTTTTTGGATCTCAATAATCTTCTATTTTTATTGAAAATTAGCAGTAGGAATTTGTCGAGTAGGATATTATGTTTTATAAACAAAAGTCCAAATATCAATGTTGTAACTAGAAGCGTGCTTAACCATCCATGGATGATCAAAGATCTAATCCATTGTTAAACGCTCTCCAGGAATATATTTAAGTATTCCTTTGATAAGAGTAATTACCTCATTTGATAATGTGGGTGCAAAATTGATGGGCTATCCAGATTTAATTTTATTTCCTAATTCCTCATTATTCCTTCCTCTGTAGGGCGCATTTCCATGCAATAATTCATATAATAAGATCCCCAAACTCCATACATCCAGACTAAAATCATGAGGTTATTTATTTAACATTTCAGGTGCCTAGTTATTTAGATAAATTAGGATACCATATATTCATAAGTACCACAAAAAGTCATCCTTTTCTCTGTTAGACTTTCAGCACTCCAACCAAAATCGCATATCTTCACATTACCATCGTGATCCAATAGCAAATTTTCAGGTTTAAGATCTCTATGGATGATCTTATTTTTGTGTAGATAATCTATTCCCAGACAAGTTTAAAAGAAGTAGACAAATGCTTCATTCTCAGGTAATTTAGATCGTTTTTTAATGTAATTAAAAAGAGATCCATTTTCTATTTAATAAACATTTTACATGCATATTCAAGTATTAAGTAAACATTTTCCTTATCTTCGAAATAATGGTGCAATTTGCAAATATGAGGATGAACTAATTTGCGTTGTATTTTTATTTCCCTTTTAAGGTTTTCTACTGAGCAATATTCAAACACTTATCTCTTATTCATCTACAAATTTTGAAAAATATCATACAATTTTCATTGCATACAAAAGGCCATTCTGTTTGTCTTTGACTAGTTTAACCGACCCATATGATCCTCTACCCAACTCTTACTTACTCCCAATCATAATTATTTCAAATTCTTCAGGCCTTCTCCTCACACTTGTTGTTGAACAAGAATCAATTGTATCATTACAAGATCTTGCTCTATCTGGCTAAGATTTTTTGCATATTTCTTTGTGATATATTGGCCTTAGTAATTAATAAAATATAATAATTTACCAATCAAGGTCTCTACATCGGGTACTACAATAGTTGGCGCCCATGCATAATGGACACATCACCTTATTCAGTTTGGATCTTTGTTCTATTGTAGGTTATTTAATGAAGTATTGACAAGATTTATAATCACAGAATCTGTTCATTTTTAATAATTAACTATTTATAATTTATGTAAATTTATATATATATATATAAATTATGATAAATTTGAATTTCTTATTCATTGATATGATTTTCTATTTAATAAGATCTATATGATTTCTTAGGAAAGTTTCATCAAATTGAACAAATTGTAAACCTATCCTAAAATTCAAAATAAAGAGTTAAATAAGCACTAAAATAATTTCAATATAAAATATGATTATTACATTCTTCTCTACTTGTTATTCCAATTAGACTAAAGTAAATATTTCTAAATATTGATGAATTCAAAATTCCTTACATTCACAGAAAACTTAATTTAAGATATCTTGAAAAAAAATTAGATTACAAAGTAATTTAATAAGATAATCGTAATTTAAAATTCATGATGATTAAATCAAGTGATCTTTTAGATAACTATTCAAATAAATTTAAATATAATCATTAATTTATGAAACACTTGATTTGGATTTAATCGGAATTAGTTTTTGTTAAAAAATTATTCTTGTAATAATTTTAAGATAAAAAACTTTATTAACAGAATTATTTCTAAATATTGAGATAAAATAATAACAAGATTTCTATTTCCAAATATACTCAATCTACTTAAATTATATATTTATTCTTAGAATAGTAATCCAGAAATTTCTTGGATAACAACTGGATTTCTTATAATTTAATTCTTAATATAAAAAAAATTTCTGCCAAAATTGTAGATACAATATTAAAAACTCAAGATTATAAAAAAAAGTAAAATTTAGAAATATTCAACAAATACTTTAGAATGCAAATAATTCAGATATTTAATAACCATTATGAGACCATTTCTAAATGAATTATATTGCTAAATTAACCATTGCAAAAATGACAAATCCAACTAATCCCCACATTATCAGTGACAACCTATCTCTTTTCTTTAAATTATTAAAAATGTAGGAACTCGACAGATAGCATCCAACAACAGTCATTGTAAACAAGGAAAATGCTTAAAGAGTTCCCATATACCCTAGAATAATCACTTGTGCTGCGACTTAAAATGAACTCAGTAAAACATTAAATGATGATGTTCCTGTACTTTGGATTGTCGTGAATCCCATTCCCAAATACATTGGTATCAAAATCATACCACCTCCTAGACCAAATCCATTGAATATACCAGCCTTAAACGAATCTCTTAAACATTCTTTTTTTAATGGTTTTAACTCTTCTTTTTAAAATCTATCAAAAATGTATTCAAAATAATAATATAATACGACAACTAGACCTAATGTAATAATCCAATAAAAGAATCCACAATAAGATATACCAATAATTGATTCAACATTTGGAGACCCCCTCAGAAAAAATCCTAGAAGCACGGTTACAACAATAACACCTATTGCTACAATTAGATCTATATTCTCTTTTAATGAAGCACCCTATAAAGTTTATTCTTCTTATAATTTATTAAGAATAGGAATCTCCACTGAATTCTAAGTTAGTTTTCTTTAATTTTCATTTTTCCATTCTTTAAGAGCTGTTTTATAAAACTTTTAGCATGAAAGAAATAAAAAATATTGCAAAATAGATATTAAAAAGAATGCGGGAAGTATCTTATTAAGAATAAGCCCTACCATGCTCCCTATTATCATGGCTGGACATGCAACTATTGCACTTCTTATTTTCACTACTGGAGTTTTGGTTTAAGGATCCAATTGCTAAGCAAGATTAAGGAAATTTCCTAAAGCTGCACCAAAAATAGGTAAGAAGACTCCTAACAATGCTTCTTTCTATGAATAGTTAAAAAACATAGTCATCAAAGAAACTACTACTCCGCCTCCTCCAATCCCTAAAACATGCTGTTAATAATTGAAATACCTGCTAGGGATGCAAATCCTGTGAAAATGGCTATGCTAAGCATGCCTATCAATTCAGGAAAGGTTGGAGGAAAGAAGTTCTTATGAGTGCATATTCCGTCTATGCAATTATAGAGTGAAACACATTCTGATTAAAATGTACAAGGGTGATTATTAATCATTAAAATTATAATAATAAAAAAATGAATAGTGGTGAATATCAGAAATTTGAAGAATTAGGTTTAGATTAGTGGCTTTTGAAATTATGTTGGAAGATTGATTATAAAGAGCCAAGACCAATTTAAGTTTTAAGTATCCCTCCCTTACTACAAGGAAAGAATGTATTGAGTAATAATTGAGGAAATAATTTTAGTTTCATCTCAAACAGGTAGTGGAAAGACAGCTGCATTTTCCTTTCCGATTCTACAGACATTAAGTCAAGATCCATATGGAATTTTTGCAATTATATTAACTGCAAATAGAGAACTAGCAGTATAGATTGCTGAATAAATATAAATATTTGGTGCTAGTGTCAATTTGAGATTAGCTTTATTAATAGGGGGACTTTCCTCCTAAAAATAAGTCAAACTATTAGGATAAATCCCCCATATAATAATTGGAACTCCTGGCAGATGTGCAGAATTGCTTAGTATCGATGTTAATTTCTAGAAATATATTAAAAATGTTAAATATTTCATATTGGATGAGGTAGATAGACTGTTGGAACCTCAAATTTGGGATGATATCAAACAAGTATATGAATAATGTGAATCTCCTTAAATTGCATTAGTATCAGCTACTCTTAATAATGTCACCCAGTAATTAAAAGATGAATTTGCTAATGTTAAATTTGTTGAATGTATAAATAACCCAGAATAAAAGGTATCAGAAACTATTAAACATAAATTTGTATTGATGCCCGATTTAGTTAAAGATTATTATTTCATCCATCTAATGAAAAAATTAGAAGGAGCATCTACAATAGTTTTTGCTCCTACATGTAGAAAGTGTCATGAGTTAAATGAATTACTAAATCATTTTGAAATCAAATCAACTTGTTTGCATTCTATGTTACCTTAACATGAAAGAATAAGTAATTTAAGGGCTTATAGATCACAAAAGACTTAAGTGTTAGTAGCCACAGACGTAGCATCAAGAGGACTTGATATACCGAATGTGAAATTTGTTATAAATTGGAATGTTCCAAAAGTAGAAGCAGATTATATTCATAGGGTTGGTAGAACAGGAAGAGCTGGCAGAAGGTATGTATAATAATTTCTATTTCAATTAGAGGTACAGCTATAACAATGATGACCTAATTTGATGTAGAAAGAATATTGGCTATTGAAAACTTAATTAATTTGAGATTGGAAGAAATAAAATTCAATGAAGAAAAAGTTCTTTCAAACATGACTGAGGTCACTAAGGCCATTAAGACCATTAAAATTGTAATTTTATTTTCATATAGTTTTTAGAAAATGTAGTAGGATGGTACAACAGAAAAATTTATGGATCTTCAAAAGAAAAAAGTAAAATCTAAATAGAAAAAAAAAGAAAGCCTAGAAGATTAATCATCATGATTTGTTAATATTTTTTTAGATTACATTGATATTATACATAATAAAGTCATTGTATTTTCATTCCACTTATGCATTTTATTATTTATTCTTTAACTTTTTCACTTATTTTCCATCTTATTATTGCTTTTTCTATTTACTTTATATTTCCTCTTCAACTTCTATTTTTTCTTCTTTTTATTGTTTAAACTTCTTTTTATTTATTTTTTTTCCTCCTTTTAGAATTCCATTTTTTTATTTCTATGGCTATTCTTACTGCTCTGCTTCGTTAACAAGGTTATTCAACTCTTCTAATTCATTTTAGCCTTCATCTTCTTAATTTTCTTATTAATTTTCTTGCTCTTCTTTGGCTTATTCTTCTAAGTACTCTAAGAATTTATAGATATAATTGCATTACTGGATAAATAATATTTATATCTCTTTCCATTTACATGTTTGAGTACAACAGATTTTTTTTTACTTATATTTTATCGGGTCAAATTACAAAATAATTTATTTCTAAATTTACGAATAAAATTTACTTATCAGTTTTATGCTAGACAATGTAGGGTTCAAATTAGGTAAAGTCGATATCATTTTCTACTGCATTTTTATAGCTTTTTCCATTTAGATAATTGTTAAATTCTTATAAAGTTGGTAAAATTTCGTGATGTGTTAAGAGGCATTTAATTTTTCCACTTGATAAAAATTCAAAATGCTTATTATTTTACACAAGCTTTTATAATTCTTTATTTTTATTTGAATTAGAATCATTTACTTTGATATTTTAAACTTGTTTTCCAGATTCTTTATTTTTATTCATAAATTAAAATAATTATAATATTTGCCGACAATCTCCATACAAGGTAATTATATTATATTACAAAAATTCTTTGAATAATAATTGATATTTAGTTTAATTCTGGTTAATTAAATTATTGATGATTAATAAGGCTTCATCTTTAACCAGAATGACATTTCGAATGTTCAGAATGACGACCAAAAATTAAACCAGATATACATATGGGAAATTAGACCACTTTTTCGCTCACTATGAGATGAGTGAATTTGAATCTCCCAAAATTACCATTAACAAATTTTAATATTTAATTGATGACATTTTTTATTCCAACAGTCTTCAATTTAATACATCCTTGGCTTCTTATTTGAATGCAAATGAAATAGAAATAAGTTAATTGTTGATACTTTTAGAGAAAATATACTAAAATAATGTATATTTGTCAAGAACGAATAAACAATGTTTAACTTAAACAATACTAAGCAAGTTCGATTCCTTTAATGAGGATATAATCTCTGTTATTAATTAAGCCTGTTTATTGGAGTTTATTAATGAATAGCTAATGGAACTATTTAATTTAAGTTTAATTGCTGTTTATTTTTGGTTAAGCACTTTTAAAATATAATAATCTTACAAAAAACGAAGCTTTCATCAAAAAGTTGTAAGAACTTGTCAAAAATGCAATTGTAAAATATCAACCAGGCCATAAAATATCTGGTTGTATGTTTTCCTAAATATCGTTCTTATTTAAAGGACTTTTTTATATTGAATTAGAATAAGAAGCAACATATTTAGGTTAAATTATTGAATTATATAAATCCTTCTATAAGCTATTGATAACTAACTTTGCAGAAAATTAAGATTTTCAAAATATGACCCCGAAAGAGTTCACAATATTGCTTACTGCGTTATTAAAACTAAAAGATTAATTTCAAAGTTAGAAATAAGTATTATAACATAATCCTTACTAAATCAAATTAAAAAAACAGGCGTTTCTGCGTTTAGTGAATTAGCTTTGTAATCCTTTGTATTTAATTTAACCCAGCTTGGAGATTATCAGAAATTGATGGCAGAAGATATCATATCAGTGTTACAATATAATGTTCAATTATAATAATAATAATAGTTTTCTCAAAGGATAATGATTGTAATACTATTTGAAATGCACTTTAAATGGAGTTATGATGTATCAAAAAATCACTTATTGAATTTAATCTCAAATGTGAACATAAGAGAAATTCCAGATTCGAACTTGGCAGTTACTTCTAGTTGTTAACCTTATTGCCCTGGGATTAATTATAACACATAATCAATAATATAGAATCGGTATTTTATATTCTTAATTGATAGGAAATGACAATCAGAGAATAGTATTAGAAGGATAATTAGTAGTTTTATAAGAAGGAACCTCTCTTCTGATAGAATGAGAAGATCTTATGTCAGGTTGATAAGTTCATTGTCAACTCAAGGAAAGAATCTTGGATAAGTAGAAAAAACAATTAAGAAAATTTTTTGAGTAAAACAACTTTGTATATTAATATTAATTATATATATTTTATGCAGAATTCACTAATGTATTCAAACAATGCATTATGTAAAACAGAGCCCGAAGAAAGTCTTGGAAGTAAAGCATTGGACATTTTAAAAGAGAAGATAAAAATATTTGAATTAGAAAAGATTCCTTATTTAAGCAATTCGCAAAAAAAAAGATTAGCAGATAAATAAAGATGCAGATCTCAAAAATATTAAATTCATCCAAAAATGATTTAACCATAATAACTTTCTTAAAATAGGATATCTAATAAGGAATAATAAATAAGCTCTTAAAATAGATTTTCATTGCAAATATTAGAATCGGTTAAGAGTAGATTGAGTATTTAGGAGGCCAAATTAATGGATATACCTCTAGTTAAAGTTTCAAGAGAACGAGTACTTACAAGTAAAAAGGAATCCGAAAATAACATATCTCTAATATTAATGGAAAAGTATTACTAAGCTACAATCAAATATGAAGAAAAACAATAAAAATAAGCCACTAAAAGGAGCCAGCCTAAACATACATCAAAATTGATGATAAATAATTAGGCAGTAAAAAACTTTTAAAGAAAAATTAAAAATAGCAGAAGAGAATTATTAAAAGAACTAAATACTTCTCTCAATGATCATTAATCAAATATCTAATAATAATAGTTGAAATCTATTTCGGCTGATGGTTAAAATTTGCAAGAAAAAAATAATATAAGATTCAGGCCAGTCAGGACCATTTATCTGAAAAGAAATTATTCAACTTCTTCATGAGTTTTATATACTTAATTTTAATATGATTTAATTTGAATTTTATTTTGATATTGTAGATGTTATTCTGTGAAATAAATTTAACAGAATACCTAATTTTCCTATATTAACAAATATGCATCCCCCCTCATATATTCATCATCATATACAATTTATTACTAATGAAAATAATATCATAATCTATGATTATTAATGTTATCCACTATATTAATAATCTCCAATATATCAAAATTCAAAATTAGTTGATTTTTCAGTATTATTAAATTTACTATATCAAATCATTTTAGGTTTATTAATATATAAGATAGGCC